GCCCTACCAGGCCTCCTACACCCTCCTCACCACCTATTTGGATCACTTGTTGTTCCCTTGTCCCTGGGTTTGTTAACACAGACGTATTTGTTTTTATTTTTCTCTCCCTCCCTCTACCACTTGGAGATGATATATTTTCTAGGAAAAACTACTGACTTATTCAAGAACTTCAGGAGCCCTACGTATAAAGACGTGTGATTAAAATGTACATTATATTTATAAAGACATAAAAACATATCATGAAAGTGAGTCATTAAAACACCTTTTCTGGTTTATTTCAGTCCGATTTAACTTTTTAATAATTTTCTCTATGTTAAAGTAATTGTTAAAGGAATACAGTGTTGATAATAACTAAAAGAAGAGAACTGTGGAGATCATGGTATGCCATGATGTTTTATGAGCTTTTAAGTTTGTATATTGGTCATTTGTGTGTATGTTTGGGGGGGATATATATTACTTTTTAACTGTAAGGGGCAATTTTATTTAATTTTATTCTTAACAATCAGTATTCCGGTTAATGTTAACAAGGATAAGAAAACATGAAAATGCTTGTTTTTTAGATGTTTAAATTTTTAGGGACAACATTAAGTGCCACAAAGATAGTTTAGAAAGTATTTATTTGGGGATAAAATGAAATTAGTGTAATTTAGGATATTATATAAATTTAGCAAGTTCTTCATAGCTGTTGAAAAATATAAAAAATCAGAAACTTGTATCTTTTTCTTAATTATGGCTATTTGTTAGTATTATTTTTTGTACAGAGCACAGATTTACAGAATAAAATATGAATGTTTTATAGCTTAATGCTTTTTGTGTTAGTCATTCCCAGTATCCTGCAGGAGAAATCAGAATTTGGTATGAATCTGAGAATATGTTTCCCATGCTACCTCAGGGTAAAACAACACCAGGGACTGCTGCGGCTAGCACTTCAGTGAGCAGCGTCATCAACACAGTTGCAACTCCTGCCAGTTTTAACATGAAGAATGACCCCAGGGGACTCAGTCTGTACAAACAGGAGAAGCAGAAGGTTTGTCCTAGGGAGCTAATAGATTTAGGAGTCAACTAGTATTACTGATTAAAACAAAAGTTAATGTAGATACCTCTCAGCTAATTGGTAAAGTATTATATTAAGTAAATGTGACAATTTCAGGTGTGTTTCAGATTATAATAGAAACTTAAAAAGCTTGCAAGCAAACAAATTATTACATGTTTTTAAAAGTTCTGTACTTAATCTTACAGTACACAGGGCAAATGGAAACATGAACATTATTAGGAAATTTCAATTTTTTTTTCCTGTTACTGAGATTTGGGGACCATGCTTCAAGAATCTGCTGATTTATTATCTTTTAATGAGCCCCACCAGGCAACCGTATAGCCTTTTTCAATAGGATAGCTTTTATAGCAGTAAAGATGGGAGCTGACAAACTTCCTTGTTAGGTAGTGCTGTTTATATTTTAAATAGATAAAGCAAATCACTAACAGATTTTTTTATTCTCAAGCCACTCCTTAACTCTAATTGTTACTGTTTTTAAAATACCCCAAGGTGGGACAATTAGTGAGTAAAGCCCTAAAGACCTTAAGTCATAATTGAGCTGTGTGTGTGTGTGTGTGTGTGTGTGTGTGTGTACATGTATGGATAATAGTGTTTTGACAAATGACTCGGGTAAAATGACAGCACATTAGTAAACAAAACAGTGATTTTTGGATTGTGTGATGGATGCTGTATGGTTACTATTTCTTGCTTACTGAGAACTTTAAGCAACCTTAAGAGTTTTGCCACGTTCCTTAATACCTTGACTTGGCATTGCCAATAATAGGTTTACTGAGACTTATAAAAGGAATCTGACCCTTGCCGACATATTTGGTCATTTTTAGTTTATGATTTGGAATCTTTTACCTTTAGGAATCGAACCTAGAGAAACAGTAAATTGTTATTTGGACTGGATATAATCTTTGAGTAACCTTGTTTACGCAAATACCATCTCATAATTAACAGATTAAGCCTTAATGATGCCCCTGACTATTTGAGACCATAGCTTTTGACTTAAGCATTGCATGTGACTTTCTAAGGGGTAAATGTGTATTTTTTTTAAAAAGCCCAAAACACCACCATTTTTGCAGCTAGATTGATTGCTCTGCCTTATGTTTTACTATTTCCCTTTTATTTCCAATCACCCCCCACTCCCAAAAAAAGCTTACTGCCATCAAGTCGTTTCTCATAGCAACCCTGTATTCCAATCTCTTCTTTTTCTAATTATCTCCAGTTGGAATAATGGAATTAAAATTCAGTTAGGAGTAATTGCAGATAGGGTAAATAATATAGAGCTGAAAATGTGCAAAATGGTGCTTTATTATTATGTCTTTATTGATCACTGCTTTCACCTTTCAGTTTATTTTTTAGGTTGCAGTGTTAAATATAATGTTAATGCATCAGTTTATTAAGAGTCACAGCTTGTTGAATCCGTTTAGTTTGTTCGTTTCATGGTTCTCAGGGCAACCAGTCTCCTCTCTGTGGACATGTGCGAAGCAACTCTCAAGAGCAAGCTGTTTGCCTGGAGCAAAGCCTCACTAGTGGAGCTCCTGCGTGGAAGTAGATACCTAAAGTCACACTGGCCTTAGTATCTCCTATCAGGCTATTTGGAGTGTTACTACATGAATAGCTCAGCACCCTCTCCCCCTATCCTGGCTAAGTTAGGTTATATATTCTACCTTAAGTTTATGTAAATAAATTAGATTCCTTTGCATCTGTTCCGTATGCTGACTGCTTTGTAGGGGCCACGAACAGTATGTGATACAACCCTACTCTGGAATTCTTTTCATGACTTGATTGGCTCACTTTTGAAGTGTGGTTAAGATTCGACATCCTCTTTGCACTCTAGTATTAATAGTATTAAGTTGGTGCTCCAACTTTTGTTGTTAAAAGCAACATTAAGAAAAATTTCCAAAAAGAAACATCCTAATTCTTCTACCACCACAAGAAGATAATCATTGACATGTATATTCAAAATTCCAGTTAGATAGTACCTTAGTGTCTTAACATGATTGGAGTGTTTAAATAAATTTTTGTAAAGCACAGAATAGGATATTGAGTAGCATAGTTTCATTTTAAATGACAGTGAAAGGATGTACCTACGAGGAATAACCAAACTCGGCTCAGTGCCTTCGTGTTACCAACTTGTAACCACCCTAAAGGACAGGGAGAATTGCCCCTGTGGATTTCTGCATGTTGATTTTAGCTAATTAAATGTACGTATAAAAACAATAGCACGACTAAAATAGTTGCTCCATGGTAGTGAACAATTGAGGTAACTCACCCACATTTGTAAATTTCTTGAGTTTTAATATTTTATTTAAAAAGAAAGACCAATTATGAAGTACTTGGTAATTTCTTCAAGTATTTTTTTTTCCTCCTTCATTGTTGAATTCATGTAACTCCTCTTAATATTTTATGCAATTTTCTGGTATCGTTAGGGTGTTTCCACCCTATTTTTTATAAAATCCTGAAAATTCCTCAGGTACTATATTGACAGCCATTGTGTTATTTGTGTAAGGTAGTCGAGAGGCTCCAGAAACCGAATTAGGCGAAATTTAGCAAGCAGGCTTTATTGGGGAGAAAAACCCAGCCTGGGCGAAGTCCCGTGGTCCACCTTTTTATTGCAGGGCTGGCCTTGGGCCAGATCTTGTAAGGTGGTCAGGGATTGGAAGCACAGGCACTTCCGGGTCCCTGACTTGGCAGAGGTGTCTGCCAGGGATTTGTGGAGCAGGCGCGCCTGAATCCCTGGCCAAAGGTGCCCATCCAGATTGGTGGGCGCAGGCACTCCGAGAGCACTTCCTAGTTCCTGGTAGAGCGTATACGTGGCTGAGTGCAAGGTCCAGAGAGAATTGCATCAGCCAACTATGATCAGCTCCACATGGGGTGGGGGTTTATTGATTTGGCCAGACATCGTGCAGAGGAAGGCACAGTATCACTATCATTTTCAGAAGTTGTTCCTGGGTAGAATTTAGACACAATTGAAAAATATTTTGAAATGCGTTCTAATTACTATTAAGGAAAAGAATTGGGGAAAATATTGATGGGGAGCGCAAACTATATCTGAAGCAGGCTTTGTTAATAATAGATGGAAGTGGGATTAATTGGGGGTGGGGGAAGTTAAGGTGAACAATAGAAAACTAACGGGATACACCCAGTAGAGGAAATGTAAACTTTCACAACCTTTGACATCTCTGTGGGGGTGGAAATGGGAAAATTCAGATGCCAACAGATCAACTGTGCACAATTTGTGCATCTAATTTTTTTGCATGGGCTTAGGCATATTGATAAAACAAGTTTGTTCCTTGGACATTGGCAATTGGAATGATGGGATGGGTGTGTGATCTATAACTACTATAGGGTGCTATAAAGTTAATTTTTGTAAATGGTTACTTAGCACCTTATTTAGATAGTCTTTGTCTGAAACCCTCTTTTGCACATATATAAAATTACACAACACACATACAAATAAACATAGTGTACATACGAAACTAATGTACAAATGGTTTGCATGGATTGCCAAAAAAGTATAACAAGTGTTATTTGTGTAAAATATGAGGTAGCATTGTGTCTTAATCTAAAAAGTTAAATTTTTAACGAGCATGAATTTTAATTAAAATTTCAAAGAAGATGGCATTAATAGTGTTAAGGAGTATGGTGTGTGTGTAAATGTTAGCAGGATAAAAAATATTGAAGACTTTAGACTTCAGACTCATGAATACTTGGGCAGTGCTCTTAAGTATTTATGTTCAGACTTTTACTACTTGGTATTTGGGAAGGATAAAATTTCTGGACTAATAGGCTTAAAGGTATTCATGATACTTTTGTGATTCCATATTGAATTAAGTTAAAGTATTATTGTTTGAAATACTCATTTTTGTTTCTAGTGAGAGCACAGACTTCTATTCAGCCTCTTTTATTGTCATTTATGTATTTGTCTTCATTATCTCCCCTTCAATATTTATATCCCTCAATTGTATTTCTCATTAGTAGCAGTTAGCTTTTAATTCGAATGATTATGATACTACTTCCCCTCAGAACCTCATTTGAATTGCAGAATCAGCATTGAAAATGAATTTCATATTTGGATGATTTTGATCGGCATCAGTCAGTCACCATACTTTCATTGAATAACTACAGTTGGCCAGAGTGCTGGGCTTAGGGGTAAATGACAAAGAATTATAAGAAATACCTCTTGCTCTCTCAACCTTTGAAGTATTTAGGAGAGAACTTCAAAAATAAGTTATTAGGATATTTTATAAACTCTATGGTAGAGTTAAGTGCAAAGGGTTATTGGAGTAGAGAAGGGAGTGGGCTGCTTATCTTGACCTAGTAACTACTGTTAGTCATTGACGTAAGGCTTTTAAAATTATTCACAGGTGACAATACTTTTGCTTTTTAATTAAAAGTGAAATGGAAAGCTGGCAACATTTTTTTTGAAATCTTTGGAAAGAATAGGATATGCAGTTTAAATATTTGTTTAAGTATTTCTAATATTTTTATAATACAGAATGATATGGAACCTAGCAAAGCTGCTCCACTGAATACACCTAAACAAGATGGACCCATGCCAAAGCCGCATAGTGTTTCACTCAATGATACTGAAACAAGGAAACTCATGGAAGAATGTAAAAGACTTCAGGGAGAAATGATGAAATTGTCAGAAGAAAATCGACACCTGAGAGTAAGTTCTGCTCTTTAAGGAAAAATACCATGAAATAGAGGTATATGTTGTTTGACTGTTAATAGATCATCTTATAAATCATTTTAAGAATTTACCTTGACCACTTCTCTATTATGTCCTAGCTTGTCCTTCCTACTGCCAATCTCCTAAAAATCTTACTATGGCTTCTCATGGAAACCATGTTACAGTTTTGTTCTGTTCTGCGTAGGGGTCTCTATGTTAGAACCAAATCAATGGCAAATAACAAGTTACGTACTCATTAACAAGTTTGTTTGGTTGTTTTTTTTTACTGTGATGGAGTGAGTAGGTGTCACACAACATTTCAGTCATTTTTACATACATTATTGAGTGACATTAATTATATTCACCATGTTTTGAAATCTTCATTACCTATTTACAGTCATACTGAACTGCCTGGAACTATGCTGTCCTCTATGATGACAGTAACAGGTGATTGTTGAGCGGTTGAAATGTAATTGGTTCCAATTGCTGTGCTGTGAATGTAAATTGCACACTGATTATAAAGACTTGGTACACAAAAAGAACAGGAATATAAATTTTTCATTGATAAAATTTTAAATGTTTTTATATATTGGGTTAACAAATTATTAAAATGAATTTCACCGTTTTTTTTTTTTGTTTTATTTTGTTCAGAATATACAACCAGACAAACAATTAATTCTACATGTGCTGTTTGATGACATTGATTGCATTCTTTGAGTTGTGAGACCATTCTGTTTCTGAATTGTTCTTCCTTCATTAAGTTAAACTTGCTTCGTTCTAAGGTTTCTGTATAAGTTTTTGAATTGCTGTTGTCAATTTGATCCCATAGAGTTCTTAAAAGATTATGATGCTAGGAATGAATTATATCCCCTAAGACTATGACAGGGTTTCAGAGTTGGGAGAAAAATTACATTGTTTTTTAATTCCATTTTTTCTCGAACTTTTTGAAAATTCCCCCAAGAGTTTTAAGCCCTAGCCTTTGCCGCATTTAGAATGGAAACTGTATTTGTTACATTGATGACTTCCTCCTTTGGTGCTCCACCAGAGTGGAGGCAGATTACCTTGGAGGGCCACTTCCAAGCAAGCACTCATCGTTAGGTGTTCATTTTGTGTCATTTTTTCAGGATAGCCTTTTTTGGAATCATCTCCATAAAAGAAAAGGGAATTTGTTTTGACAGTTGCTTCTTTTTATGTTCACCCTCGACACTCTTACTTGGATAGATGCATTCCAATTCATTGTGACCTTATAAGGCAGATTTGAGCTCTTCTGTAGCGTTTCTAAGAACGTATATCTTTATGGAAGCAAAGTGCCTCCTCTTTTTCTCGTCATGGCAAGTTGATTCGAACTAGTTTTGGGGGTTAATATCCCAATGTTTATCCTTTTATGTCACCAGGATTGCTAAGTTAGTTGAAGGGAAAACTATGTTTGCTACACACACATATTTTGGGTAAGGTTTTATGTCAAAAATTTTCTTGAAAGATCCCTGGTTTATAGAATGTATTAGTCTAGGTACTTTGGAGAAACAAATCCACTGCGACTCACATATAAGAGAGAGTTTTATGTCAAGAAAAGGTGCATCACGAAAACATCCCAACCCAATGCTGCCCAAGCCCACAAGTCCAACATTAACCCATACCCAACACCAGTCCACAAAGTCCTTCACCTCACAAAACAGAGGCAATAATGCTGACTGCAGGAGGAAAGCTGAGTCAGTGAACGTGTAAGCATCTCAGCACTGGCAGGGGTCTCCACACGGCTGCTCCAGCACCCAGGGCTGCATCGGGAAAGATCCATGCGGCTTCTCCTTGGGGATGTCTTGTAGGAAATCCATCTTGCAAGCTGAAGCAGGGAACTGCTAAGGCAGCTGCACCTGACGCAGCTATCACAAAACAAGAGACCCGAGAACTCGAAAGGCCGAGGCTCACCACCCATTTATCCCTCCGCCTTTCAACCAGCACCACATGTGATTATTGGCCAGGCTGGCACAATTAACTAACTCAATCCACCCCTTGCCAACCTGGCACCTGTATATAATTCTTAACTTCACAATTGCAATGAACACCTATACCTTAACCGTATAATCCTGTGAGTTTTTTCCCCTACCTTTGAAAGTTTGTAAGCCAACTGCTTCATGCCTTTATCTCCCCCAATTTTAGTTATCCAATTTATATACTGCCCACTTATATCAACCCAGTTCTCTGAGAAGACAATCATGTTTTTCAACACGAAGTCTTCATTCCAGTTGGAACCTTGTAAAGTCTGCATCTACAAGCAAAGTCAATCATAATTGGTTTACCATTGATAATATTCTTTATGTGTGACCACTACCCTTTTTTATTTCTCTCACCCTACAGCCTGTCCATCTGAATTACCTAATCTACTTAAAAAAAAAAATATATATATATATATGACATATATGACACACACACATATATGACATATATGACACACACACACACACACATATATGACAACCGAACCCAGTAGACCGGGATCACTGGCAATAAGAATCATATATTTATAGTCTTTTTAAAAAACTTCTTTAGGGCGTACAATACCTGGTGGGGTTCGATCAAAGGCAGTGTAGCCTAGAGGAATTGCTGAGAGAGCCGAATGAAGGTCGAACATGATAATGGGACAGGAGGAACGTAAAAGGAAATAGAGGAAAGAACTAGGAGACAAAAGGCAATTATAGAGGTATAAATATAGGCATGTACATATGTAAAAATATTAGTATATAATGATAGGGATATGGGTCTGTTTACATATATTTATAGTATTAAGGAAGCAGATGGATATTGAGCCTCTACTCAAGTACTCCCTAAATGCAAGAACGATTTGTTCTAATAACCTTGCATTCTGTGACACTCACCTTCCTGACACAATCGCTGAAGACAAAATGAGTGCATAAGCAAACGTGAAGAAAGCTGATGATGCCTGGCCATTAAGAGATATAGTGGCTGGGGTCTTACTGCTTGAAGTTAAACAAGCGGCCATGTAGCAGGGAAGCAACTAAACGCACATGAAAGAAGCACACCAGTCTGTGTGATCACAAGGTGTTGACAGGATCAAGTATCAGGCATCAGAAGACCCAAAACAATCATACTGATGTGTATGAGTGGGGTCACAGTGGAGACCCATAGCCCATATATAGATAATTGGACATCCTCTTACAGAAGGGTCACCAGGAAGGGATGAGTCAGCCAGAGTGCAGTCAAACAGCAATGAAACACATTCCTCTAGTTCTTTAATGCTTCCTCCCCTTCCCCGTCAACCCCCTCTATCATGTTCTACCTTACAAACCCAGCTAGACCAGAGAACATGTACACTGGTGCAGACAAGCTCTCGACACATGGAATCCAGGAGAGATAAATCCCCCAGGAACAGAAATCCGAGTAGCGATACCATGGGGAGGTTGTGGGAGAAAGGGAACGATCACAGGGATAGATGTATAACATACACACACCTGGGGGTGGGGTGGGCAGGCATACAACAGAAACATGGGTGATGGGAGACAGTGGACACTGAGATATGAAAACAATATAATTTATCAAAGGTTCATGGGATGGGGGGCTCTGATACCAAGGGCTCAAATAGAAAATGTTTTGAAAATTATTATGGCACCATATGTACAAATGTGCTTGATACAATGTATGGATTGTTACAAGCGCTGTAAGAGCCCCAGTAAAATGATTTATAAAAAAACTTCTCTAGGTAGCTGTTGCTTTCACTATATAACTTAGGATAAGAAATACAACAAATAGAAAACTCCACAATGCAAGTAAGATAGCTGTAAAGTTCAAAGATATTTTCCTGAGTTCATGCTATAGCTAGTAAAATATCTAGTGCTTTCTTACTTAAAATCATCTCCCCTACATCATAGATTGTCAGGAACTTTGCTGTATAAAACAATGGCAGTAAGAATGAAGTTTCCCAATCTTGTCTGGAAGATCTAAGTCACTTTGATAGAGAAAGGCAGCCTCAGCTTTAGATCAGGGTTATAAGTATGCAAAATTCCATATTTGTCTTCATTTGTAATTCTAAAGGGTTAAGATTCTGGGTCTATTTTATAGGCCAGACTTAATGTCCACTCTTAACCATGCACTATGTTAGTTTGAGTCTATTAAACCGTGCTTGATTAAAATTTTCCCATTCCCTCAGATCCTATAACATTAACATCCTCTTCCTTTGGCAAATTAAAGTCAACTTGTAGACCATGCCTATGTTCGTCAGTACAGATTGGTTCTTAGAAGTCTTCGTCTGCTTGGACTAGAAGTATGCCAGGTATTAATTTCAGTGTGATTTTTTCCCCCATTTATGTACAAGGGTAAGTAAAAAACTATGGCTACGTAAAATTATAGAAACCTTTGTTAAACAAAATATCAAAACTGAAGCTGTTTTCAACATAGGCTCCATGTAGGTCTATGTATTTTTAGAGGTGGTGTTTCCATCTCTGTAAGTCTTCCCCAATGAGTTCTGTGCCCCTTGATTTACATCATGTCACAATGGCACTTTGGGACAATCCAAATCATACTCCTTTTAAAGGACATGGCGGGGGTGGGGGTGGGGGTGGGGCAGGTTGAAGAGCTAAGGTTTCTGAGTGAAGTTCTGGGAGAGCCTTGGCTGCCATGTAAGAGTGTTGTTGTTCTTGTTAGGTGCCGTCGAGTCGGTTCTAACTCATACTGACCCTGTACAACAGAAGGAAACACTGCGGGGACCCGTACCACCTTTAGAGTCGTACCTACGGCTAAGCCTGTGCTTGCAGCCAGTGTCAGTTCATCTCCTTGAGGGCCTTCCTCTTTTTCTTTCCACTCCACTTTACCAAGCACGATGTCCTTCTCCAGGGACTGGCCTCTCCTGAAAACAGGTCCAAAGGATGTAAACTGAAGGCTTGGTGGTCTTGCCTCTAAGGAGCCCTCTGGCCTTACTCCTTTTAAGACATATCTGTTCGTCCTTTTAGCAGTGCATGGCACTTTAAATTCTTTGTCAGCAACACATTTCAAATGCATCAGTTCTCCAGTCTTCCTTATTCAGTGTCCAGCTTTCACATGCACATGAGGAAAATACCATAGTTTGGGTCAGGCACACCTTAGTCCTCAAAGTAACACCTTGCTTTTGGCTAATATTTTCAGCACAGTTTGAACTTTTTCCTTCTGCACCATTGATTCTTGCTTATATGCTACCTCTTAAATTAGTGGAATGTGGACTCGAGTGTTTTTTTGTACAATGACTATGTTCTTTCCGTTGTGTCTCCATGCTTCCTGCATTGTTCATTATTTTTGTTCATAGGATCTTTCAAGATTGCAGCTCGAGGCTTGAATTTTTTTCATGAGTTCTCAGTTTCAGATATGGCGAACATCTTTTTCCCTTTTGCTTTTCTAATTCTAGGTCCTTGTACATTTCATTATAATATTTGACTTTATCATCTCAAGTTGTGCTTTAGAATTTTCTATTCAGCTTGTCGACTTCATCCTTTACTCCATTTACTGTAGCTACACTTCAATTAAGAACCAGTTTCAGAGTCTCTTGTGACATCCACCTTGATCTTTTCTTTCTTTTACAGTCTTTTTAGTGACCTTTGACTTTCTTCATCAATGATGGTCTTGTCTTCCCCTAGCTCATCAGGTCTTCTGTCATATGTGTTCAATGCTTTAAATCAGACTGCAACTCATGGTCATATTTTGGCTCTCATGGACTTTAAAATTTTTTCTTCAGCTTTTATCCTGAACTTACATTCAGCCCCTGGTCTGGTTTTAGCTGCTGATACTAAACTCCATCTGGGGAAGTCCATGTATAAAGTAAATGTGTATGTATTGGCTTTTGTGTTGTTAAAAACCGGCATTTGCTATGAATAAGTCATTGGTTTTGCAAAATTCTATCATGCAAACTCCAGCTTCATTTTATCTCCAAGACCCTGTTTCCAACTACTGTTCCTTTTTTGTTTCTGACTTTTGCAGTCTAGTGACCAATAATTATCAATGTATTTTGATTTCATGTTTGATCCATTTCAGACTGAATTCTTTGGCAGAATTCTTCCAGTTTCTTCATCACTAGCTTTTGTGGTTTTGAATAATAAATGTTTCTTTGGGATTTCCTTAAAGGTGGAGGAATACGATCCTATCACAGACAGTGTTATACTTCAAGATTGACATTGCAATGTCTTTTTTGACAGTGACTGTCATGCCATTTTTTTCTTCATTGTGTTATTCCCAGCATAGTAAATCATATGACTTTCTGATTCAGAATGGCCAATACCAGTCCATTTCTGCTCACTAATGCCTAGGATATGGATCTCTATGCAGTCGATTTCATTTTTGGCAGCATCCAGTTTTCCTACATTCCAGGTTCCTATCATAAGCAAATGTTTGCAGTTTTCTCTCCGTACCTTGAGTCATGCTCCATCAGCAAATGAAGATCCAGGATGTTCCACTCCCATAAGCTCGACCCAACTCACATCACTATGGTCAACTCCACTCCTAGAAATCATCTCCTCTGGCACTATCTCTGACAATGTTCTGTTTGTTCAGACTTTCAGTATTTGAAAATACTTTAAAGCTATGCATACAATTTCCAGCAGGCTTATTCCTGCAAAGTGGGGAGCCAAGCCCTCCTTTGTTGCCTGTTCTTAATCTAAAAGCTCCGCTGAAACCTGTTAAAGTTGGATCACAATACCGACATTTGAAATACCAGTGACATAGCTTTCAGCATCACGGCAACATGCGGCGGGCCACCACAGTACAATCTGTCAAGTGATAGAGCATCTAAGAATTCTTAGCATCCAAGTATGAAGAGGTGCATTGTTGCAATATCCTGTGCCCATTGAGAAAATCTGTCAATATTACCCCTTTGTAATGCGCCCAGTTAACCTTAACCTTCTGTCTTGTATTTAACAGTCTAGCAGACTCTATTAGAAAGCCTGCTGTGTTTGGACCTTGATCTCTGAATTGTATTTGCAAATTCAAGACTCGTCCTCAGTTATGATTCATTCCATAAAATTGTCATCATTAGCTTCCACCTTGCTTAAAGCAGTGGTTCTCAACCCGTGGGTCGCGACCCTTTGGGGGTCAAACGACACTTTGACAGGGGTTGCCTATGACACACATTTTTCACAATATATAATTACATATTGTTTTGTGATTAATCACAATACTTTAATTATGTTTGTGTTCGATTTGTAACAATGAAAATACATCCTGCATATCACATATTTACAATTCATAGCAGTAGCAAAATTAACAGTTATGAAGTAGCAACGAAACTAGTTTTATGGTTGGGTGTCACCACAACATGAGGAACTGTATTAAAGGGTTGCAGCATTAGGAAGGTTGAGAACCACTGGCTTAAAGGGACCATGGAGAAATCAACTCTTTGAGGTAGTTGCTTCTTAATGCTTTTGATGTCTACCCAGCCAAAAGCTTGCTGAAGCCAAAGTGCTTGCTTAAAATTGAAAACTGCTGAATCTTAAGAGGTCCCAGTTTCAATAGCTATTGTATCCATGGTGATTCTGAGACAGTTATCCGTTTCTTCCAATTATTTTGCTCATAACTCACTTTGGAGATCTTCCTATCTTCCTTTAAACTCCTGGTCCATTTATATGAGATAGCATGCAGATTACACTTGTTAGAAGCCATGATTTGGAAAGCTGTCCATATGAGGGTTCTTTCTTCTGCTTCTTCTTTTTTTTTAATTGATAATAGTGCTGACCAAAATCTCCTGCCACCCCATGGCCCCCAAAGTAATAATTCTTTATGCAGCCATCCTAATAAGACTAAGACAAGTGTTTTACTTAAAGAACTTATGTACAACCACTCCCTGATGACGTTTTGGGTAAGAACAACCCATGCAGGTATGAACTGGAACTTTTATTGGAGTTCCTGCAGTGCCGTTTGCTTATCTTCATAGTCATGTCATATTTGCCGGGTTTTAGAAATGTAGTTCTCAATTACTGTTTGTGTTTTACATCAGCTTTATTTGGGTATAACTTATATACTACAAAGTAAACTCTTTGTAAATGGATCATTCAGTGATCTTAAACAAATTTACAGAGTTGTGTAACCATCACATTGCAGTTTTAAAATATTTAAATTACTCCAGGAAGGAAGTTTTCTTATGCTGATTAACAGTTACTGCCTTTTTCCATTTCCAGCCCTGGGTAACCACTTTATGTCTGTAGCGTTTCAGCTCCAATTTTAACCAAAGGTTCCAATAGTCTCTGTATGTATATGAATATTGTTTTAAAACCTTTATTTTTATTTTTTTGTGTTTCCTAGGATGAAGGATTAAGGCTCAGAAAGGTAGCACATTCGGATAAACCTGGATCAACCTCGGTTGCATCTTTCAGAGATAATGTCACCAGCCCTCTTCCTTCACTTCTTGTTGTGATTGCAGCCATTTTCATTGGATTCTTTCTAGGAAAATTCATCTTGTAGAGTGAAGCATGCAAAGTGCGATTACTTTTTCTTTTTCCTCTCTCTTGACCAGAAAAAGATTCGTTTACCTACCATTTCACTGGTAGTATGGCCCATGGTGACCATGTGTGTGTGCGTGTGTGCGTGAGTGGGTGAGTGTGTGTGTGTGTGGCGTCATGTAGGCTTTGCCTTTAATGATCTCTTATGTTTAGAAAACACAATAAAAATAAACTGTTCGGCTACTGGACAAAAATTGTATATAACGGGATCATCAATAGCAGATGTCAGTTCAATCCTTTATGAAATTCATAAATAAAGAATTGTTCCTTCTTTGTGGTTTTAATAAGAGTTGAAGAATTGTTCAGTCTTGTAAATGTTATTTTAATGAATCCCTTTAAATTTTACCTGTTGCGGTTACCTCTTGAAATATGATTTATTTAGATTGCTAATCCCACTCATTCAGGAAATCTCAAGAGGTGTTTTGTGGGGAAATGGTGCCTCTTACAGTGTAAATTTTCTCCTTTACCTTTGCTAATATCATGGCAGAATTTTTCTTATCCCTTGTGAGGCAGTTGTTGACTTGAGTTTTTCATCCTTATGATCCTGTCCCATGGTATTTAACATTAAAAAAAATTAATAAAACTGTTAACAGATTCTTGCTCAATAGCTTGTGTTTGTTGTATCATTAGATGGGGATATCAGGGAAACTATAATATGGTCACTTGAAATTTATCAGGCATAATCTTTCTCACATTGAAACTTACAGATAATAAATATTTGTAATTCAAAAATCTTCATGTATTAAGGAAAAGAATTGATAACATTTCCAGTTAATAGTATTTTTGAAGATCATAATCCTTTTGTCTTCAAATTAGTCTAAAATAAGCTAATGCCATCAACATAAAAACACTATATTTTAGTCCACTTATATATATACATCATTTGACTATGTTACATTTAATATACTACATTCTTATCTGATTGTTTTAGTATCTTCTCAAGGAAGACTAATTCTCCTTTGTTCTAGTCAAGTATTTAATTAGCCTAATTTTTAATTTTATGAATTCTATAATGAAAGATTTCACGATAAAAGTTAAAATTCGATTTTGTTGTTTTCTAATTTGACACTCAAATTTCCATGATTGGAAATTTTTTATTATTGAGCAAGCCAGAGAGAGAGAGTGAGAGAGTGTGTGTGTGTGTGTGTGTGTGTGTAAAATTTTGTCCTTTGAAAATCTGTTAACCTCATGAAGCACATTTTCAGAATAAATATGCATTGTAGGGTCTGATACCTTCCTGCACTTAGTCTTTTTGTCTGTATTTACTCCACTTGTTGTACTAGGAAAAGGCATTTCTTAACCAGAGAAAATATATTCAGTTTCTTTAACTGAGTTCAAACTAATAAAAATTAATTTTTATTCTCTGAAGTTTGTTTTCATAAAAGGAACACTTTTACCTGAAAGTCAAATTGAACGTCGGACTTGATGTGGTGCAGTGAAGTATGTTAGGCCCAAATTTATGTGCATGCACATTTTACCAAAAAGTGAAATTCTGTATTTTGGTTGCCTTTTCATTTTCAAGTGTGTTTTGAATTCGTGAGATCACATGTATCGTGTCATTGTGCTCTGTGGTGGTATCTTTTATAAAACCTTCCTTGTGTGCGAAAGTTACTAAGACACAAGTAATGCCTACCCGTTGTTCGGTGGCTAGTGTTTCCATTGTCAGGTGCTGTACTACCATTGTAAAAGTTCCTTACTTTTCTGGTAACTGGAAACGCATGCTCAAAATGCCTGGCATTTTCACCCTATAAATGCAGAGTTAGTAGTTCTTTGGCATACAGCTCTCTGTAATTAACATTGGTGGTGTGTATCAAACTTGATAGTTCATAGCCATCTTTTTTTTCCTTTTCACTAAGTTCTCAAGAGTTTAGCCAAATCCCGTTTTAATGGAAATGAGCCTTCAAATTAATTTTGTTTTATAGTTGTGGACTGAGGCCTTAGTGAGGATTGAGAAAACTGTCCCCATGCCTCACAGGTAGGTAGAGAGGCAGAGCTGGAACTCGACCAGGCTATCCTGTCTCTAGTCTTGTCTTTTCTGAGCATTTCTAGAGGAAGGCCTAATTTGACAGAGAACTGAAATAATACAAGATACTATTTCATATATGTGTGGTTTGCTATCATGAAATTTCCTTACAGGATAATGCATAATTAGTATCATGCGTACGTTTGGTTAGTGTTTAGACTAGGAATATTGCCATACAATATAGTTTTAGGGGTTGTTTTTTTGTTTTTTTTTTAATGTATCATGCAGTGGTTGGCTTTGAGGTATATTAAGTCTCAGTAGCAAAATAGATGTATACATGGGCTTATCTGTTTTACATAACAGATGTTCTGAGTGTATAGTAGCTTTTAATTTCTATTATTTTTGTATAGCTGTATGAAATGTGATCAATCAAGTTTTACTACCAGCAGTTTCTTTAAGAGTACAGTATAACTGTATTGAGTGATAATATATAGATTTAAATTGTTTGCCTTCATTCCTTATATGTTTAGAAATTTTTGCGTTGCCTGCTTACTTGTGTATGTAAGCATGAGGGAAATAATATTGTTACTAATACTAATCACAATCAAATAACTAAGGCCTTAAGTTTATATGTGACGCTAAATGCACTTACCTGCCTTCCTTCTTTCTTTCTATAACTAATGTACCTTAACTTTTTCTTGTATTTACAAGAAACAAGTTTAAGAATTTTATTCTGAGTGTATAGTATGTTAACTTTTCTTTTTTAAGAAATGACAGAAAAATATCAAAATCAGGAATTCTGGTTAAAAAAAAATCATTTCTCCTTTAAGTATCTTTGCTTACAAAATCTAAAGTAGTATTATCTGGAAATTACTTTTGGATTATCTTTCAAAAGATACAACTTAAAAATTTTTTATTAATAGAGTTAAAAAGAAAACAGTTATTAGAGAGCATATCCCCAAGTTGTGTGCTACTTTAGAAACATAAGTAATTGTTTTCCTAGAGCTTTGCACATTCCTATTTAAGGGTTTTGGTGTGTGCATAGTTTTTTTTTTAATTAATATAAGTTAAGGAAAGAGCAATGCTTACCATATGGAAAAACAACAAAAATAAATTTAAATCGTCTTTATTTTATAGCTTTTAGGGAAAATAAAATATTGCGTGAATAAATAAACTTAAAATGTGGTGATGTGTCATTTTTATTTTCAAAATACAAAAAAAAATTGTTTTCAGAATATGGCTTGCATACATATCTGTGTTTCTGACAAGCATTAATAGCTAAATTTCAACTGAAACCTGAGTTTTAATAGTACAGTATCACTTGCTTAGTGCTCTTGACTTTAACAAGGAATATTTTTTTAGTGGGTAATGAGGACAACTGATATGTGCAGAAATCTAGAGCAGCCTGCTAGGTTTAGTATAGATAAGTTTAAATATAACCTTTAAAGGATAAGGACATTTTTTTACCCTTCCCACAATGCTGATTATAGAAATGAAAGCATTCATTTTAAAAAATAAGGTATTAAAAAATCTTTGGTTTTACCTTGTACTATGAACATTTGGTCCATATGTAATTTGTATATTAATACTATTTATCACAAAATATATATTAATCTATTTTGTGTTTTTCTCAGTTCTCAAGAACCTAGTGCCTGAAAAATATTTTTGTTTTTGTGATTTCTTAATTGTATTGATATATAAATAGCATGTCATACAATTCAATAGTTCAGTCATAAAGGACTGTGTAATCATCACCACAATCAATATTTTCTAACTTGTGTCCATTGCTGTTGACTCCCTCTGCTCAACCTCTCCATTCCCGTCCGCAGGTAATTATTAATCCAGTTGCTGTCTTCATAAACCTATCCATCCTGACTTCCCTTTACAGAAAAATATAAAAAGTTCGGTCACTTTCTTAAAGTTTTGAACCTTGTTGGTATTTTTACTTTTTGTGAATGAAATGAAGGCTTACAAGGTAAGTCAATTTTTCCATTAAGTTACTACACATTGTGCTTCATGTCACTGGTTGTGTTTCCCTCAACAACATCACTCATCTTCAGCCATGTTTTTCATTTTCATTCCTCCTCGCCTAACCTTGCCTGCTGTTAATATTGCCCTTTTGATCTCAAATGGTTCGCTGGTCTGAGTGCATACCTCCCTGGTGGTCTTAATCACTTTATATGCCTACTGTATCATGTCTCTTGTTAGCTGACATAAAGTGTTAATGCTCTGGCTGCTGGCAATTCCCACTTTTGTCAGGGATCCTGGTGGCATAGTTATGCTTTGGGCTGTTAACTGCAAAGTCAGGTCAAAACCACCTGCTCCAGAGAGAGAGACTGGACTTTCTACTCCCAGAGTTACAGTCTCCACTCGTCAACAAATGGTGCTAGGAAAATTGGTTCTCCATCTGCAGAAGAATTAACCAGTACACTGTGCCTCATGCACAGAAAGGCATTTAAGATGGTTTCAAAGCCTAAGTGGACACCCAGAGCTATAATGATCAGTGGGAAAAGTGAGACAACCTAAAGGGCCCGTTGCAGGGCCTACACATACTACCAAATACTGTGAAGCAGACACAGTGGAAGACAGTAAATGGGGCCTTTTAAAAAAGCACATGCATCAGAAGACTAAAATGACAGCCCTTGAGTTAATTGGGAAATAATCTTCAGCGGTGACACAACAGACAAGAAACTGAGTACTGCACCACGCCAATAAGGAAAATGTAATCCAACTACAAGGTGGGCAAAGGACATGAATAAACAGTTCACAAAGGCCAGGTGATAAAATACGTTAGGAGATGCTCATAATCACTAGCCACCAGGAGATGCAATTCAAAACTGATAGCCCATCTACAAGTGTGGAAGCACAAGATCTGTTGCTACCTAAAACAAGGGAATATAAATACCAAGACCCAGCAAATATCTCTTCTGGGTGTATACACCAAAGAAATAGGACATGCTGGGAACAGCCCAAATGCCCATTAGTCAAAGAATGGCTAAGAAAACAAGTGTATACGTTATGTGGAATACTGTGCATCTCTAGAAAGCAATGAAACCAACACCTAGGGGACCTGGAAGCGGGCTGGAGTTATTCAACCATGAAAGGATTAATGCTGTATGAGCTCCTTGTCACTAAGATAAAGGCAGACTTCTCTCCGTTCTTGTAATTTATTCTGTCTCCCAAGCCATGTGGGAGAGTCGTCACCTTTAAAAACTGGTGAGACCTCAGCTGCGGTGAGTGTCTCAAGATGGGGGCACAGGGAGAAAATCATTCAGGTGCTGCCATACAATATTGTGCTAAGGTCGCCCCAAATCATCAGACATGAGTGATAGCAAACCTTACTGGAAATCCAGGGGGGAGGGACAGGTATGTGCATTTTGGAGAAGTCAGTTACATCACTGTTAGTGGGTAAACCAGGAGAAAAAAACCTTCCATAAGGAGGGAAAAAAAATAACATAGAACCTACATGGAGAGTATGCCTGGCTTTATATTCCTAATTGGGACACTTTTGACCTAGTCTGTATCCAGTCCTTGGTGACCGGAGGTGCTATATATTTGGGGACTTTAGACTCTGTCTTTTTGGGCTACACAACATCCTTCATAGACCACTCAAGGGAGATTTCATGTGAAAACGGCACTAAACTGGGCTTACCTCAGACTCTATAGCAAATTAATGAAACGGATATACTTCCTTGGACTTAATGGTGAAATGCCTAGTGTGAGATAATGACATCCCAAGGTTATGGAAGCGGAGGTTGGACTGTGGTTTGAATCCTTTGCTTTCAGGGTTCCCAATGAGTGGTAGCCCAGACTATCATATATTTACTATTTGATAAGTCCTCCTTTCTTGTGACATAAAACTGGTAAGCATGATTCTGCCATTGTGAATGAAACTGAAAGTTTTGCCCTATTGCCAACTCCTATTTTATATGTCAACAATTCATATATTGCATTCTGAACATGGCCTATACTGGTATAATTTCTCAATGATGTTTTAAATTCTGTACCATTGGTTAATGACACTATCAATCGAATTACTTAAGCCCCAGGGTACCACAAATGAAGAGAAAAATGAAAAGATAGTAATTTGACTATGTAAAAGAGATGAAAAAAATGAGGGGGTTGCTGTCAGCTGGTTTTGAAAAATGTTTCCAAGAATGGAGTCTCAGATTTAACAAATGTATTAAGTAATGAAGAGTACTTTGAAGGTGGTAAGGGTTGTCGTGTAAAAAAATTTAAATATATAGCTTAACTGTATTTAAGGGGGGTACCTCCTCATAGATAAAGGAATGGATTTGGGACTCACAGCTAATACTAGACCTAATCTATAAGCAATTAGTTCTTAATACATGGCCCTGCTTGATGCTCACCCCCATAAAGAGATCACTAAAAAGATGAGTG